GTGTGAAGCGAACGTGATAACCACTACACTACGGAACCAATGGCGGGGAATGATGGGAATAGTTCTGATAGATACTTTTTGATAGATTTCTAGCTTACGCTTATTTTTGAAACTAGACCTAGTTGATAGCCCTGAGAAGGAACTAAAGTGGACAATAAAAAACAAAATATCCCTCCACGTGCTCTCATCATAGAGAAACGAACCTCATTTTCATAACCATTGATCAAAAAGCAATCAATATACCAAATGGTTCAATCCGGGATCGAACCAGAGAACTCTCGCGTGTGAAGCGAACATGATAACCACTAAACTACGGAACCGATTCATGCGAAGCAAGAGAATAAATCTGATGGATACACTCTGATAGATTTCTAGCTTACACTTAGCTTAAAATTTCCCTTCACGTGTACTCTTCAGAGTGATACGAACCTCACTTTCACAACCACGGATTAAAAAGGAATCAATATACCAAATGGTTCCGTCCGGGATCGAACCGGAGACCTTTCACGTGTGAAGCGAACGTCATAACCACTAAACTACGGAACCGATGGCAGGGACTCAAGAGAATAAATCTCATGGATAAACTCTAATAAATTTCTAGCTTACGCTTTTCTTTGAAACAAGAGAACTAGGTTTCAGGCAAGAGAATGATCTATAGTGGAAAATAAAAAAACAAAATACCACACCACATGCACGCTTCATCGAGATCCAAGCCGCAATCTCTTAACCGGGAAATAAAACGAAATTAATATACCATATGGCTCCGTCTGGGATCGAACCGGAAAACTTTCGCGTGTAAAGCGAACGTGATAACCACTACACTAAGGAACCGATGGAGAGATCCCAGAGAATAAATCTGATGGATACACTCTGATAGATTTCTAGCTTAGAATTATTTTTTGAAACCAGACCTAGTTGATAAGAATCGAAAAGAACTAAAGTGGACAAAAAAAAATATCCCTTCATAAGCACTCTTCATAGAGATACGAAACTGTCTTTCATAACCATGGTTTAAAAGGAATCAATATACAAAATGGTAACGTCCGGGATCGAACCGGTGACCTTTCGCGTGTGAAGCGAACGTGATATCCACTACACTACGGAACCAATGACTCGGACGCAAGAGAATAAATCTCATGGATACACTCTGATGGATTTCTAGCTTACACTTATTTTTTTGAAACTAGACATAGTTGATACGCCTGAGAAAAAAATAAAGTAGACACTAAAAAACAAATATCCCTAAACGTGCACTCTTTATAGAGATACGAACCTCACTTTCATAATCATGGATTAAAAATGAATCCATTTACTAAATGGTACCGTCCGGGATCGAACCGCAGCCCTTTCGCGTGTGAAGCGACTGTGATAACAAATACACTACGGAACCGATGGCGGGGACGCAAGAGAATAAATCTCATGGATAAATTCTGATAGATTTCTAGCTCACGTTTATTTTTTGAAACAAGAACTAGATGACACACAGGCAAGAGAATGATCTAAGGTGGAAAATAAAAAAACAAAATACCTCACCACTTGCACACTTCATCGAGATCCAAGCCACAATTTCTTAACCGTGGAGTAAAACGAAATTATTATACCATATGGCTCCGTCTGAGATCGAACCAGAAACCTTTCGCGTGTAAAGCGAACGTGATAACCACTACCCCACGGAACCGATTGAGAGACCACCGAGAATAAATCTGATGGATACACTCTGAAAGATTTCTAGCTTACAAATATTTTTTGAAACCAGACCTAGTTGATACACCTGCGAAGGAACTAAAGTGGACAATAAAAAACAAAATATCTCTTCACGTTTACTCTTCGTAGAGATACGAACTTTTTTTTTCATAACCATGGACTAAAAAGGAATCAATATACCAAATAGTTCCGTCCGGGATCGAACCGGAAACCTTTCGCGTGTGAAGCGAACGTGATATCCACTACAGTACGGAATCGATTCCGGGGACGCAAGAGAATAAATCTCATGGATACACTCTGATAAATTTCAAGCTTACAATTATTTTTTGAAACTAGACCTAGTTGATAAGCCTGAGAAGGAACTAAAGTGGACAATAAAAAACAAAATATCCCTTCACGTGCACTCTTCATAGAGATACGAACCTCACTTTCACAATCGTTGATTAAAAAGTAATCAATCTACCAAATGGTTCCGTCCGGGATCGAAAAGGAGACCTCTCGCGTGTGACGCGAACGTGATAACCACTACACTACGGAACCGATGGCGGGGACGCAAGAGAATAAATCTGATAGATACACTCTGATAGATTTCCAGCTTACACTTATTTTTTGAAAATAGACGTAGTTGATACGTCTAAACAAGAACTAAAGTTGACAATAAAAAACAAAATATCTCTCCACGTGCACGCTGCATATCTATACGAACCTCACTTACATAACCATGGATTAAAAAGGAATAAATACCCCGAATAGTTCCGTCTGGGATGGAACCGGAAACCTTTCGCTTGTGAAGCGAACGTGATAACCAATACACTACGGAACCAATGGCTCGGAACGAAGAGAATAAATCTGATGGATACAATCTGATAGATTTCTACCTAACACTTATTTTTTCAAACTAGACCTACTTGATACGCCTGAGAAAGAACTAAAGTGGACAATAAAAAACAAAATATCCATCCACGTGCACTCTTCATAGAGATACGAACCTCATTTTCATAGCCATTGATCAAAAACGAATCAATATACCAAATGGTTCCATCCGGAATCGAACCGTAGACCTCTCGCGTGTGAAGCGAACGTGATAACCACTAAACTACGGAAGAGATGGCGGAGACGCAAGAGAATAAATCTCATGGATAAACTCTAATAGATTTCTAGCTTACGCTTATTTTTTGAAACAAGAACTAGATGACACAGGCAAGAGAATAATCTATGGTGGAAAATAAAAAAACAAAATACCTCCCCACGTGCAAGCTTCATCGAGATCCAAGCCGCAATTTCTTAACCGTGGAAAAAAACGAAATTATTGTACCAATTAGCTCCGTCTGGGATCGAACCGGAAAACTTCCGCATGCAAAGCGAACGTGATAACCACTACACTACGGAACCGATGGAGCGATCCCAGATAATAAATCTGATGGATACACTCTGATAGATTTCTAGCTTAAACTTATTTTTTGAAACTAGACCTAGTTGATACGCATCGAAAACAAATAAAGTGCACAAAAAAAAAATATCCCTTCATGTGCACTCTTCATAGAGATACGAAACTGTCTTTCATAACCATGGGTTAAAAAGGAATCAATTCACCAAATGGTTCCGTCTGGGATCGAACCGCAGCCCTTTCGCGTGTGAAGCGACTGTAATTACCACTACACTACGGAACCGATGGCGGGGTCGCAAGAGAATAAATCTGATGGATACACTCGGATAGATTTCTAGCTTACACTTATTTTTTGAAACTAGACCTAGTTGACACGCCTGAGAAGGAACTAAAGTAGACAATAAAAAACAAAATATCACTCCATGTGCACTCTTCATAGATATACGAACCTCTCTTTCATAACCATTGATCAAAAAGTAATCAATCTACCAAATGGTTCGGTCCGGGATCGAACCGGAGACCTCTCGCGTGTGAAGCGAACGTGATAACCACTACACTACGGAACCGATGGCGGGGACGCAAGAGAATAAATCTGTTGGATACACTCGTATAGATTTCTAGCTTACACTTATTTTTTGAAACTAGACCTAGTTAACACGCCTGAGAAGGAACTAAAGTAGAAAATAAAAAACAAAATATCCCTCCATGTGCACTCTTCATAGAGATACGAACCTCACTTTCATAACCATTGATTAAAAACGAATCAATATACCAAATGGTTCCGTCCGGATCGAACCGGAGACCTTTCGCGTGTGAAATGACCGTGATTACCACTACACTACGAAACGGAAGGCGAGGACGCAAGAGAATAAATCTGATGGATACACTCGGATAGATTTCTAGCTTACACATTTTTTTTTTTAAACTAGACCTAGTTGACACGCCTGAGAAGGAACTAAAGCAGAAAATAAAAAACAAAATATCCCTCCATGTGCACTCTTCATAGAGATACGAACCTCACTTTCATAACCATTGATTAAAAACGAATCAATATACCAAATGGTTCCGTCCGGGATCGAACCGGAGACCTTTCGCGTGTGAAATGACCGTGATTACCACTACACTACGAAACGGAAGGCGGGACGCAAGAGAATAAATCTGATGGATACACTCGGATAGATTTCTAGCTTACACTTTTTTTTTGAAACTAGACCTAGTTGACACGCCTGAGAAGGAACTAAAGCAGAAAATAAAAAACAAAATATCCCTCCATGTGCACTCTTCATAGAGATACGAACCTCACTTTCATAACCATTGATTAAAAACGAATCAATATACCAAATGGTTCCGTCCGGGATCGAACCGGAGACCTTTCGCGTGTGAAATGACCGTGATTACCACTACACTACGAAACGGAAGGCGGGGACGCAAGAGAATAAATCTGATGGATACACTTGGATAGATTTCTAGCTTACACACTTATTTTTTTAAACTAGACCTAGTTGACACGCCTGAGAAGGAACTAAAGCAGAAAATAAAAAACAAAATATCCCTCCATGTGCACTCTTCATAGAGATACGAACCTCACTTTCATAACCATTGATTAAAAACGAATCAATATACCAAATGGTTCCGTCCGGGATCGAACCGGAGACCTTTCGCGTGTGAAATGACCGTGATTACCACTACACTACGAAACGGAAGGCGGGGACGCAAGAGAATAAATCTGATGGATACACTCGGATAGATTTCTAGCTTACACTTATTTTTTGAAACTAGACCTAGTTGACACGCCTGAGAAGGAACTAAAGTAGAAAATAAAAAACAAAATATCCCTCCATGTGCACTCTTCATAGAGATACGAACCTCACTTTCATAACCATTGATTAAAAACGAATCAATATACCAAATGGTTCCGTCCGGGATCGAACCGGAGACCTTTCGCGTGTGAAATGACCGTGATTACCACTACACTACGAAACGGAAGGCGGGGACGCAAGAGAATAAATCTGATGGATACACTCGGATAGATTTCTAGCTTACACTTATTTTTTGAAACTAGACCTAGTTGACACGCCTGAGAAGGAACTAAAGTAGAAAATAAAAAACAAAATATCCCTCCATGTGCACTCTTCATAGAGATACGAACCTCACTTTCATAACCATTGATTAAAAACGAATCAATATACCAAATGGTTCCGTCCGGGATCGAACCGGAGACCTTTCGCGTGTGAAATGACCGTGATTACCACTACACTACGAAACGGAAGGCGGGGACGCAAGAGAATAAATCTGATGGATACACTCGGATAGATTTCTAGCTTACAGTTTTTTTTGAAACTAGACCTAGTTGACACGCCTGAGAAGGAACTAAAGTAGAAAATAAAAAACAAAATATCCTCCATGTGCACTCTTCATAGAATACGAACCTCACTTTCATAACCATTGATTAAAAACGAATCAATATACCAAATGGTTCCGTCCGGGATCGAACCGGAGACCTTTCGCGTGTGAAATGACCGTGATTACCACTACACTACGAAACGGAAGGCGGGGACGCAAGAGAATAAATCTGATGGATACACTCGGATAGATTTCTAGCTTACACTTATTTTTTGAAACTAGACCTAGTTGATACGCCTAAGAAGGAACTAAAGTGGACAATAAAGAACAAAATATCCCTCCACGTGCACTCTTCATAGAGATACGAACCTCACTTTCATAACCATTGATTAAAAAGGATTCAATGTACCAAATATTTCTGTCTGGGATCGAACCGGAGACCAATTAAAATTTTAAAAAAAGATAGTAAAATAATTAATAAAGTAAAGTAAAAAATATCAAAAAATCAAAAGTAAAAATTATCCAAAATATAAATAAATTGCAATAAGAACTGCAGCAAAAACCATTGGACTAATTCAGCAATACAAAAATAGTATGAAGAGGACTATATTAAATTATCTTAGTTCCCTAATATTGGGTTCATATAGCGCTGTCTCGATCCATTCCTTCTAACCCAGGAAATGTCCCGATACTCTAACCACTAGGCTACCTACCCGCGCTCCAATAAAAATGCAATGTGTGTTTGTTTAAAGCTACTAATATCCGAAACTACTGGAGTATTTTCTCTGAAAGTTTTGCATAAAGTTTTTCTTGAATCCGATTGAAATTCTTATCCATTTTTATTCCTTTGATACTTAATGGGGTCGATTCATCACTAGAGGGCGCTGCAATCGTGGCCATAATCGCGTGATTAACAACGTGCGATTTTGTAAACAAATAACAGTTGATCGTATGAAACTTGTGGTTGCGCGCTAACTTTCAAATTTGCAAACATTATTATTTTATACTCTTTAAATTCTTTTTAGTACTTTAAATATTTTTAATATATTTTCTAATACTTTAGTTTAAGAAAAGGGATTAAATATATATGTAGTTTTAGTTTATAGTATTAGATTTAAGTGTTTAGTTTATACTTCAATCCCTTGGCTTCGAATTTTTGTATACTTTTAGGCTTAGTAATTATTTTTTGTTAATGCCCGCCGCATTGTGATTTAAATAATTCTGCAGCGCTCTATTGAACAAATTGCTTCTGGAATATGAAGAAATCACTACTGTCACAAATAATGTTGTGGGCGAATTTTTCCGAGAAAAATTCGTGCAGACTGTAAATAGGGAGTGGTTCGCCGAAACAAAGAATTGTTTTGGCTAGTCAGCCAGAACGACCAGTTAATACTTCGGCTGTTGTGTGTGAATAGGAGGAGATATACTGCTAATGAAAAATTACTTATTTGTATTTCTAGACACTGATACTTGTGTCTGAGTGATGTGAAGACCTTTCAAGGTTTTTTAAGCAAATTATTTTTGCTATCTCTGGCATTTCAAATATTCTTTTTAAACAAATTTGCATTGCTCCTGAAGAATTGTCTTGCTGTTTGAGAGCATAAAATTCTGGAATCCCGATCAACGTAACAATAAAATTTTTACATTCTAAAATGAGTCATGTTTCAGAGCTGATAGATGCAAACATTCGTTTGCAAAGGTATTTATTAGCAAATTTATGACATTGATTGTATTCTTTTATATAGAAACTTCTTGTAATTATGAAAAAATAGCCTTTGAATTTAACTGTTATTTTCTAAAATTTATATAAAGTTTCCTTTTTGCTATTCTTGACAATCCATTTTAGTATTTTTGTTTGGATATCAAAGTTTTTAATAGTAATTATTGTTTTATTTTTTAAAATTGTATGGAAATATTTGTTTGGTTTACATCTATTGGTAGGGCCGGAACTACGTATGGGCTTAATGGGCTGCAGCCCAGGACCCCCCGGGTCTAGGGGCCCCCGTTACCCGTTGAAAATAACAAACAGAAAAAGATGCTTACAATTAAAATAGTAATAAAATAAAAAAAAAATAAATAAACCAGTGAAAAATACATTTAAAAAAAATAAAATATCCGAAATACTGTACCAGATTTATTTTTATTTTCGAGAGCAAGAGCACACTTTACTTTTGTTTTTCCGCCTTACTACCGAATACGAGGAAATTAATAATTAAAAGACAGAGGCTCTCTCTCATAGGACGGTGCCGATGAGCATCGAGCACTTATACAAACGTTGTGACACTTTTCTGTAGCCATTTATTTTTGTGCAATAGGTGCAATCAGGTTTTGGGTCCCACACCGGATCTTACTAAGGATTGAAAAACCATAACATAACATAGGCTTTGGGCCCACTAGAACCTTGGGGCCCCCGCAATGCGGGGTTGCAGGGGTGTACGTTACGCCACTGAAGTGAAAGGGAAAGGGACTTAGCCGAAGAAAACTGAGAAACGCAACAAGCAAATATTGATGAGGGAAATAATTAAATTAATATTAATGAGGGTTTTCGTGGAACCCAATTCCAAACACATACGTCGAAGAATATCTCTCAAAGTAATATTTAAAGTAGACCAACATGTTACAGGGACTTCATGTAAAAGCAATTAAAAAAGTATTTGCACATTTATATTATTTAAAAAAATTCTAATCTAATTTTGTTAATATAATTTACACACTCAAGTGTCACCTATCCATGCATTATATTTAATAACTGAGATATGTGCTTCCTTTTTTCCCCACGGTCGAAATCTATGTCTATTGACATAAAGTGCAATCGCATTACTTATTCTGAGTTTAATTTACTTTTATAGCCACTTACGTTGAGAAATATCTTTCACTTAAACACAATGTTCTGAAGGGCATAAAATTGTTTATAAATGTGTGAAAATCCCGCGTATTTTGCACGAGAGAGAATTTGAAACCTAAAATTTAGAAGCTGTTCTTGCTTAAATTTAGTTTTTAATACCAACTCTGTTAACATGTTCGTTTTCCTTGATTATAGGTGTTGTTTTCCACCAATGTAAAAAGGTGCATTTTCCATTAGAAAACTAATTAGCTTGCAAGACATTGTGCTAACTAACGAGTATAAAATTATCTCGTGGAACCCGAGATAGTAAACAATAGAATATTCACAATACAGTTTAAAGTTTAAACGTTTTATTATTTTTATTATTTTATAATAAAAGTTTAAAAAGTGTTGCAAAATAAAGTTATATATAAATAAAATTTTCAGTTTTAATGAATAGGGGGGGGGGTGATGAGCTTTAGATACTTGTAACTTATAAACTTCATAGAGAACGCGAATCCATTCTGCATACATATTTATTTCTTCTAGATTTCGTATTGTGACTCGTGGAACCCCTGAGTATGCCCTGTGGAACCCCAGGGTTCAATGGAATATAGTTTGAAGACCCCCTACTTTAGGATGTTCAACCCTCAATGTAATAGCGCCGAATGGGCAGTCCAT